GTTCGATTCCCAGTACCCGCCCCCCCCCCAAATCAGCTATTATGTGTCCTACACAGAAGACTGAGGACCAGAGACTTCCTTCCCATTTTTAGGTTTTGGTAGCGCTTAACACTGGCTATTGAGCCCTAAGAGATTAAAAGAGGAAACAGGTAGGGATGGGAGGGCCAGGATAAAGTCTGTGTATGCACCCTATACCAGGTGGTCACTAAGGGTCTCAAAGTAGAACCACGTACCTTTCTGAAGGGCCTTTTACTGAACTTGGCTGACTACAATCAATCCATCTACCTTACCCTACAAAGCTTGAGCTCAAGATTATTCCAATTCTGTGAAAGTGTCACAGCTTTCTGGTGACTTAACCAAAACGGGTTTTACATATACTTAATAATTTAAGTTACAGCAATCACTGGCAACCCTTAGTATTTTTTAGCTCTGTAATGGGAATCTCACACCCCTTTTCTAGGCTACCCACCAAACACAACAGTCACTGCCTTCTAATCCCTGGGAGAGAACTGATAAGTAATCTTCCACAGCCACCACTGGTCTCTGGGACAGACTTGATCGAGTGGCTCTGGCCACAGCCCATCTGTAAGCTTTCAAATCAGAAGCCCTGGAGATTGCCACACGGCCTCGGGCCACCCCATCCCAATCAATCACAGCTGAACAGTCATTTCCGCATGACTTTTCATGGGGGGCCTTGGGACAGACCAGTCCCCATCACCACTGTGCTGCTGGCTGCCATGTGCAAGTCAAAGACTGGCTGACATTTACCAATCCACTTAGAACTCCACACACATTCCCACTGATGTACCAACTTCATTACAGTCCTAGAAATTCTTTTCTGTCCCTCTAATGAGCAGAAATGAATGTAGTGTCTGAATCAGGAATTTAGGATAGAAAAACACCAGGTCTGTTTGCCCTTGCTCCCTTATGAAAGGTTTTCATTTGTAGGGGATAGGTCCAGACAGTATAACTGTCTTCTTTCATTACCAAATGAACTAAACACAACACTAATTTAACTGTAAAACTGGCATCTGATATTAGTGTTCCTTCTACCTCTGTGATACAAATTAAAGAAATGTGCAAAGACCTTACAATTTTCAAATGAAAACACTGAGTTTTTTCAGATTCACTGGATGTAGTACTTGCATTTCAGTCCTATTTTCACACACTAACTTGCAATTATTATTGCCCTATCCTGAGCCGCACCACCCTTATAGCACCTGAGCTGTGTGGCGTAAGGAGCATTGCTAGGAGTAATGGAGGCACGTGGGTGTGGTGACGTGCGCCTATAATCCCAGCACTCTGAGAAGCTGAAGTGGAAGGATCGCAAGTCTGAACCCAGCTTCAGTGACTTAACAATAATAAATAAAAATGGGCTGGGGGTATAACAGTGTGAAGGTCCTGGGTTCAATCCCCAGTACCACCACACGCACACCAAAGATGGAGCCACAGCCAACACACTTTATCCCCATAAACAAAAATTCTTGGTGTCTATGTCAAGATAACAAGAATCAAGGTTATTCCTGAAGACTCTGGACAAGACACACTCTCTGCAAAGAACATGGACAGATTTCCTGTGTTCCACATCACCACCACATTCAACTGTGTCTTGAAGAGGGCGCTCTTCATTAGTTTATGAAGTATTAGCACAAGTTGCTCTCGTACACTTTTAAGCCATTCTGTCATGCCCTCGTGACATAAAACACTTCTACAACATTCTTAGAAACCAAAGGATGTTTACTACTAGCGACATGTTCTTTGAGATACTGATCCTCAAGATGCCTCTAACAAAACTGATGACTGTATTGCTAAACAATTTTATTAGGACCCCAAATTAGGACGTTTTTAAAGGTCTCTACCACATCACAAATGGCACTTTACTGGTATTATTACATCTCCCCTAAACTAGCCTTCGCTTTCACTATTTGAAGTTAAACTTACCCCAAAGAAACTACATTCTATGAACTCTACCCTCGATTTGTCCTGCCAGTGACAGTCACAAGTTCTCTTCTGGGTGTCAAGAGATCAAACCGGACTAATATGCTGGTTTATGGGAGCTGCTTCCCACAAACCACAGCATAATCTGCCCATGAGGAAAAACAACTGAAGCCTTCATTCTCCATTGTTCGCGCTTACAGGAGTTCTGGGGAGGAGAAAATTGGGTCCTTTTTCTCCACTTGAGAAACTCCCTCTTTGACTCTGCTCATTAATACCAAGCTAGAAACCTGATGAGGCTTGCATTCAACTGGGTTTTCACTGGGGTCCTGAAACCACTGGTTACAGATGTGTGCAGCCCCCACCTCTAAACCAGCAGAGCTGGACTAGTGCTACAGCCCCAAACTGAAGCAAGGCCTGTGACAGAGGAGCTGCCTCAAACCTGAAGAGTAACCAACCACATTATTTCTCCTGTCACGTACTTCCCATCCCATCTGGCTTAACTGCTAAAAGCAGACAAGGTCAGGCGTGTTCTAGGTAGTAAGGACATAGGCCAAGCACATTTCTAATGGAAATCATTCTGTGAAGAAAATGTGCGTTAATCCTTTATAGCCAAAAGAAGGCCAACAGCAAAGGGTCTATTCTACTTCCACGTTTCTAAAGTGTGCTTCCCCTAACACTCAGCCAGGAACAGGTATTGTAAAAGTAGTCCTTGGGCCTCTCCCATCCCTCTGACTCCCACAGAACACCGCATCTCCCAGGACGGCTCCACAGTGCGCACGCTGGGATCTACGCACCATCCTCCATGAGGCTCCAGGGACAGTACAGCCTCCCTGTCCAGGCACTGTGCCCCAGCCTTGGTACAGAAGGCACAATGCTGGTCTCAGCTCGCTAATCATGAAATGTTAGAAAATCCCAAATCTTCCTTTAAATGAATCATCTCAAAAATAAAAACTGTGGCTACTAGTAATTTCAAACGGCTAACAAAAGCAATCCAGGGCTGTGCATCGGGAGTCCTTCCACAAGCCCTGGGATGGAGTAACGATAGTCCCTGCGCTGCCCCATCTGTAACCCTGCTCAGCGGGTGTCAAGTGCTCCCTCCCTATCCCCAGGCTCCCATCATCTTCCGGCCACACTGAAAGGCTGTGACAGCAGCGAGCAAATGTTCTTTTACATGTTGTCTACATTCAACTACATTTCTCCTTGCTATCCCCTAAAAGCCTCAGGTGACTGCGATGAATTATACATCAAGTGCGCTGCAGACTGGGCCTATTAACTCACCCAGCCATGCCCAGTCCCACCTGCTTCTAAATGGTAACCAATCCAGCAGAAGTGGGTAGAGGTGACAGCCTAACTTTAACTTGGAATTTCTGCTGGATGTTTTTAAGACACCCAGAAAAACTACTAAGACTCATTTCTTTGTATCACGTTCACCAGGAAAAACCAAGCCGCCATGAGATTTTCCACACATACTATAGCCTCCTCCCTCCACATCACCCAGCGACACAATGCCACTGTCTCAACATGGGGGAGTCACTCTCCTCCCACGATGTAGGCAAAGGGGATCAAGGCGTAACAACAACCAAAAAAAAGCAAGTGGATGAGACCTACTGAATTTGTATGTGGGGCGATTTAGTAAGACAATTCATCTCTCTAGAATTAGCAAGTCATGATCTGACACCACCACAAACTAGGACAGCTGTCTTGCTGACCTAAACATCAGCTTTAATGTGGCTCAGAAGACCTCTTGTCCTAGGTCTGAGTTTCCCCATTTCTGAAGTGAATTAGACACAGTAGCTGAAGTCAGTTATCAAGCTAGTCCACAAAGGGCTGTTGATTGCAGGCTTACGTACAAGTCACTAATAACACAACTGACAACAGAATTCTTCTCTTGGAACCGGTGATGGAGGCCTTGATGTCTGCCCCTTTGCAAAGATGCTGAAATGTTTGAAATATCCAAAACACATCTCCAGACCTAGCCCATAAGACAATATGGGGGATGGGGATTTAGCTCAGCAGCACAGCACCTGCCTGGCAAGTGCAAGGTCGTGAGTTCGATTCCCAGTACCGGAAAAAAATCAAAAAATAAAAATTAAAAAAAAAAATGAAAATAAAAAGTGTTCGACTATATGGAGGGTACAACCCACAAAATCAGGCATGCTTGGAGACAAGCTATTCTAGATTTATAGGAAACTGGTTTTAGGCTCTAAGACAGTAAAGCTCTTACTAGCAAATACCTTAAGACACAAAGAAAGCAAGACAGGTTGAATTTCCTGTCTTCTAAAATTATCAGGACAATTCAGTTTGCTATCATCTCATGGCATTTTGGGGACTTGGAGAAAAGAAAGTGGTAAAGCAAACAGGTAACGCTAAATAGGGGTGAGAAGCATGCATAAAGAGTAAAAACTTCACCATCTAATCAAGGTAGCCACTGCTTTGGATCACCATCACATAATTTTTGACATCAAACCTCTACTTTTTTGGTACTGGCAATTGAACTCAAGGCCTTGCACTTGCCAACAAACGTCACTTTTATAATCCAATACAACCTCAATCTGTGACATGGGAGACCTGCAAAAATCAAACCAAAGGACCACAACAGATCATATAAAAAGCACCAAGAGGAAAGTGTTCAGCCTGCCAGAGAGGAAGAACCCCAGCGATTTTCCCGTAAGTCTCCATAACCCTTAAGATCGCACACGTACTTGATAATGGCTTTTGCAGGCCAAGCCAGTGATGAGCACTAAGGGCCTCTTCATCGGAAGAACCTCAGCACAAGCCACGTGAGGTCTGAGTCACAGTGAAACTGATGTTCGGGTCAGCTGGATGACTATCCCGGTTCGAGATGGTATCAGACCTCGACCTTCTAATGTCAAGAGGCTAAACACTGATTCACAAAGCAGTAGGCTGCTTCACTGCCTGGGCTCGCTCGCCAAGGCCATGTGCTCACAAGCAGTGCAGACCCCGGTCTTCCTGACATCACAACACACGCCCTGGGCAGGCCAAGGCCTGGAGCTACTTCCTGTCATTTCAAGAATGAAAAGAAACAAACTGAACTCACTAACTTCTTAAAAATCCTTCTACGATGATTTTATTATAAATATGTTCTTTTGGAATAAACAAATATTGCATCCAAGACTATCTGCCAACTTGTTCTAAAGTAGTAAGAGGGAAAAGGGAACCAGGAACCATTTAGAAACAGAGATAAATAGCAAAGACACCTGCATGCCATGCTAAATCCCTTTCTCCCAAGGAAGAACAGAAGGTTAACAGGGAGTATCACAGCTCTCGTTAGCCTATTTGATGAAAATAAGCTCGAGTTTGGTAACTTATGCTTGTTCTACAAACTGAGCTGCTCCTTGCCTCAGTCCTCAGCAGCAGAATGGCAAGTCTTCCGATGTGAGCATCAACAAGAACGGTCTTGATTGTGTGTAACTCTTTGTTCAAAGACAAAGTGTTCCTATTTGCTAGGAGTAATGTCCGAGTAATCCTTCAGCACTCCAGCCATGTGTTCGTTATGAGTCTTAAACCGTCGCTTTTTCTGTGAAGCAGGCTTTTTCCTTCTCTGAATAGGGGCCTAAAGGAAAAGGTAATACCGGTCAGAACAAACAGTGACCCCAAGGGATAGTATGGTCAGGATAAAAACAGCAAGCCCAGAAGCAAGGGTTTGGACCTTTTCATTCACCTCACACCATTCACAGCACACATCCCAGCCTCCAACCAGGCCCGAGCCTTCCATTACCACCAGAGCAAACTCCCATCAGGAATAATTGGCCGACACAAAAACTTACAATGGACCTTTGACTTGCGAACTCAATGCTTTCTGGAGGGCTGGTTGTAACCCCAGTTATCAAAGGCTCAGGCACCTCTACACAGCCTTTAAAGTCTCTCCTGTATACAGGCAGCTAGCTCTCAGCGTCCTCAGAGAGACACTGGCCCAAGATTTCTCAATTAACCCCATATAGGAAAGGATACTGTAATGTTCCTTCCAGAACTCTAGAATTAATTAAATCTGTATCTGAGGCCATTTGGAAGCACAAGCGGCCGCATTCAGGTCGTAACTCAAGACTTTGGTTATAAGTTAAAACTAAAATTCCGGTCATAACCCAAGTTGTTCATGCGCCAGACCATCATAATGAGGGTCCACTGTATCACACATATTCCAGGCATTATGCAGATAAAACCAGTAATGCTAGGTTTTATCTGTTATCAAGTCTAAAAATGTAATGCCACTACCAATTCAAAAAATGATCTGAAGTAAATCTGGAAAACTATTGAGATATTGTTATAGGTAGCTGAGTTAGATAAAAATATTACAGGCAGTCAGACAAGGCCAGGCCCTCGAAGGAGCCAACATAAAAGACAAGGTAAGATACCTGTCTGCCAGACCTCAACACAAAAGGACTAAACAAATGCACCCACATACCTTCCTAGGTGTAAACATCAGGGATTGATATTCTAAATAAGTAATAAACGCCTTCAAAAAGCCAGAAAGTCACTAGCCCAACCCCCTACAGGAAAAGCCCGTTCTGTATTCATGCCCTCTTGCTACGAGACTCGCTTCCCCACTTGATCCTAGTTTACTCAATTTTACCGGAACTATTACACTTATAATCTTATTGGCTGACCATAGTTTTGTCCCACCTCATGCCCACCTTGCAATTTTCCATTTTCCCTCCTCTCTTGGACTCGCCTCACCTCAGGGTTTTGCTCTATAAAGTCCCTGGGAAGGGCAAGGTGGCAACCCACTCGGACCCTCTTCTGTCCCTCTCTTGGACAGAAGCTTTCTTTCCCTCAATAAATATATTCTGCTCTTAACCTCCGTTGTTCCTAAAATTCATTCTTCGATTTTAGAGAACACAAACTCGTCCTAAATATCGTTCAGGTTGGGAGTTTTTATTTTCCTGTATCAATATGACAAAATGTAGAAATGGTTAGGCACACACTGGCTGATAGCATACATATTAGTATATTAGTATAGTATAGTAGTATACTAATTAGTATATTAGTATAACATTCATTTAAAATCATTTAAGAAATCATGAAAGGCTGCAATTGCACTCATTCATTGAGGTCACTGGCAATAAATCTTCCCCTTTTATGCATCCTAAAAGTGCAGATTGAGAGAGCAGCTACAAAGAAGAGCAGCTACAAAGCATAACGGTGGCAAGGGAAAGAGGAAAGAGGCACCACGGGAAGAGTCTAGCAGTGATGGTGAACCTTTTAGAGCTTTCAATGATAAAGCACAGCCGGCTGCCACATGCGTGCCATAGGCTCACCACTACTCTTCTTGGGTGTTGCTGAATTACTGCCCACCCTAGCTCTGTTCTTGGGCTACAGATTGTTGGCAGCTGGTACAAGGCAATTTGTCAGTCTTCGTTTGATAACTAATGCCCCCCGTGAGCAGGATTAGGGGGACAAATATCTGATGCCCAGAGGACCTGAGAATCAACATGGACAGCGCAATATGGTCAGAGCTATGTCTGTTCAGCTCACAGAGAAAGGGGGAGGAGCACAATCCAAGGTTTAAAGGCCAAGCGCATGCCCACACAGTCTACTTTTAGGAACTGGAAGAAGGTGCATAAAGGCTTAGAGGTGAGAAAGTGAGCACCATGGGGGCTTCAGGTAGGCTGGCCGGCACAGGGAGCTCTCCCAGGCCTGGGAAGCAGCCCCCAAGGCAGGCACACTGTCCCTGGATGGTAACACCAATGCATGACCTCAGCTGTGCCTAAGTCACTGGATCAGACACAGACAAAGCCAGAGGGGGAATGACTTCCTGCTCTTCAGAATGGAAAGCAGATAAAGCTCAGAGAGAAGATTAAACTTATCCTGGAGATTACTCACCACTTTCTTTGGTCCAGACTCCTGCATGGAAGAAATACCCTGTCGCTTGAGATATTCTTCAATTTTCTCCTCATCCATCGAATCCACAGTAACACTCCTCCACAGTTTCTGGAATTCTGAAGCAACACGACAGTAGTTATTTTACCACTGATTTTTACAAAGCACAGCATCTTGGTGATCAAAACCTGGGCTTCAGTATTATCTTCTCTGGGCCTAAATCAACACATCTGAGATTTCATGACAAAAACAAGTAAGCAGACAGTTCCAGTGTCACAAGTCTACCATCCCAGCACCCTGGGAGAAGGTAGAGGATCACAAGTTCAAGCCGAGCCTGAACTAAGCAAGACCCTTCTTCACAATAAAAAAAATAAGAGCTGAGGATGTAAGCTCAGTGAGAAGGCCATGGGTTCAATCCCCAGTCATAAATATAAATAAATGCACACACACACACACACACACACACACACACACACATATACCTACAAAAACAATAACAAAACAAAAACAGAACCAATGAATAAGGCAGGAACATTCAAGTGTGGAACACTGATCCACAACAGGGCCTGTGAACAGAACGGCACCAGTCAGCACAGACACCAGCTGCTGTGCCCTATTTGTGGAGGCCCCGAAATAAAGTTCAGTAGGACTGAGGTCTTCCTGCCTTCCTGGGGAAATAAAGCAGTCAACCCCTTTTATACCTAAAACCAGTCCTCTCCATTTTGGGCAATATAATTCAAACTCTTCCTCATCTGCCCTGAGTTTGGTATACACCATCTTTTCACCCACTGACAGTGAGAAACACGCCGGAAAATGGGGCACCATAGCTGTACGTGGAAGCGAGGTGTTGTGACAATTTAGTTACAAAAAAAAACTTTTGCAATCAAGCCACCAGGGACCAGATGAGGGGATGGGGAGTGGCTGAGACAGGAACTCCCATCACTCCTGCTCTAAACAAGGCTGCTGCCCCACCTACAGCAAGTCCTGCAGACCTGTGGTCCTTCCACAAGCAAGAGAGATCTCCACTGAGACATATGCAAATAAAAGTACTAAACTGTGCATCCTGAATTCTCCTCCCACACACAGGCTCTAACAACTGAGCCCACCTCATTATCAGCATTTACTTTCAAACACAAAAAACTCGCCACAGCAAAACCTTGGATTTATGTACTCTAGGCCAAGAAAAAAAAGGGATAGCCCCTTGTCACAGACACTCAGGGAACTCCACCCACGGCCTTCCCTGCAGGGCCTTCACAGTCTGCAGAGCTTGTACGGGAGCAGTAAATGAAGTGGGCACCTGATCTGGTGGTGTTGGACTAGACTTTTCTTCTCCCTCTTTTCTGCCTTCCTTCCTTTCTGGTTATTTCAGTGAAGCAAATGCAAATAAATTTGCATGAAGCAAATGACAACCAAAGAGAACTACGGTGAACTGCCTGGGTACACTACAAAGAATGCAACCTGGGTACAAAATTATTTAAATCCAGAATGTCTCCAAACAAGATTTTTTAATTTCCACAGATAAATACTGAGGATTCTTTTTCCTATATAATTATAGACGTCCCTTAACTTACAACAACTGTCTACACAACTTCCTCAGCCTCTTGAACACTGACCAGCTCTTTGAGAGAAGAAACCTTTTCCCTCATTCAATCCCACAGTAGCAGGCAATGGATTTAGCACATGACAGGTCCTCCTCACCCACACTGTGAAACACCACTGTCTCCTCCCACAGCCGAGACGTGGGGGGGGGGGTTAAAATATCTTTAAACATTAATTTTTTAGAGTTTGCAGTATGGAGAATTGAACCTGGAAGTGCCGAGCTACGTCCCCAACCCTTTTATTTTGAGCCAGGGTCTAAATTGCTCCACCTGGCCTTGAATTTGAGCTCCTTCTTCCGTAGCCTCCCAAATAATTGGTATTACAAGCACCCTTTGCAACACCTGGCTCTTTTTACATTTTTGGTGTTTTTTTTGTTTTGTTTTTGGTTTTGGTTTTTTTCCGGTACCAGGAATCGAACTCACGACCTTGCACTTGCCAGGCAGGCGCTGCGCCGCTGAGCTAAATCCCCAGCCCCTCTTTTTATGTTTTTAAAAGCTTTCTGTCAACTGAACCAAAAGAGGCACAATCTGAAATAGCCACACAACACCATGCCTTCTTCCCTTTCCCCATCAGTGTGTGTAATCATTTTGCAGTTCCAGAAAACAAGGCATTGCTCAATTTACCTCACTTTTTTTGTTTTTACTTCATCCTTTAAAGCAGTAACCTTAAATTATAAACACTATCAAAATTATTTCTCATGTGATTTTTAAAAATGCACCTCTCCCTAAATGCCCACATCTTAACCAGAACCTATATTACCTTATATAACACAAGGGACTTTGACAATGAAAATAAACATCTTGAGACTGGGAAATTATCTCAAGATTTAAATTCTGGATATGGAAGAATTAACGATTTTTAAGATAAAGACTAAGTAGTGTGTGTGTGTGTGTGTGTGTGTGTGTGTGTGTATGTGCTGTGATGCTAGGGTCTGAACCAAGGTCTTGCACAAGCAGAGAAGGCACTCTATAGTCACCACTGCACTACACCCTCCAGCCCAGGAAGAATGAACACTTTTTAAATGTTCATACTTCCCAGAACAATCTGCAGAATCAATGCAATCACTATGAAAATTCCAATGTCATTTTTTATAGAAATAGAAAAAAAATCTAAAAGTCATGTGGAATCACAAAAACCCTGAATAGCCACTACTACTGCTGTGGGTTTTGGGTTTTTTTCTGGTAACAGGAATTGAACTCAGGACCTTGCGCTTGCACTGCTGAGCTACATCCCTGGCCCCTACTACTACGTTTTGAATGATTTGTTTCATCTGAAACTCATGTTGAAATTTAATCTCCATTAAGAAACATTAAGGCTGGGCATGGTAGCACATGCCTGTAACACCAGCACTTGGCAGGCTGAGGCTGGATGATCACAGTGCATCTGAAGCTCCCTAGACTACACAGTGAGTTCAAGGCCAGCCTGAAGTACATAGGGAAGACCCTGTCTCAAAAAAAAACAAAAAACAAACAAACAAAAAGAGGGATCTTTCAAAGTGATTGGGACTCTGCCTAATTAGTGGGTTAACAAGTTAACTCAAGACTGGGTCTGCTATCCAAGCCAGCCTGGTTAACTCTCTGGTGTTTACCCCCTGACTTTCACCATCTGAAGCCCTGTACTACCTTGGGACTCTGCTAGTGAGAAAGTCATCACCAGAGGTGGTCCCTCAACCTTAGGCCCAAACCATGAGCCAAAATAAACCTCTTTATAACCTGCCCCATCTGTGACACTACTGTTAACAATATAAAGCCAATTTAGCAATCTTCTACACACAAAAAGAACAAAGCCACATGCTGGGTGTGGTGGCGCATGCCTGTAATCCCAGCATTCAGGGGGCTGAGGCAGGAGGATTGTTGCAAGTTTGAGCCCAGCCTGGGTAAAAAGTGAGTCCAAGGGCAGCCTGAACTGCACAGCGAGACCCTGTCTCAAAAAGACAAAAAGAACAAAGCCACAATAAGCAAAACAGCATGGTACTGGCATAAAAATATAGAACAGCAATGGTATGCTGTTATACCTATGGTATAGCGTATAAAATGCACTAATGAACCTCAGTATTTATGGTCAACTCATTTTTGTCAAATGTGTCAAGAACACACAATGGGAAAAGGACAATCTCTTCAATAAATGGTGCCAGGAAAACTGGCTATCTACGTGCAGAAGAATGAAATTAGACCTTTTTTCATACCATATATAAAAATGAACTCAAAATAGATTAAGACTTGTCATGTAAGACCAAAAACTGTAAAAATACAGTCTCTTAATTTTCCATGGTTTGATGTCAGATCTTTCAACTTCAGGATGGTATGAAAGCAACACCCAATAGAAGCTATGACATTTAGTAGCTTAGGTGAATTAAACTCTTTTGCTGTTGTTTTATTGTGTTTTTTGAGACAGGGTCTCACTATGTAATTCAGGATGGCCTGAAACTCATTGTGTAGCCTAAGCTGGCCTCAAACTCACAGTGATTTTCCTGCCTCAGTATCCGGAGTGCTAGGATCACAAGTGTGTGCCACCATGCCCAGCTCTAAACACATCTTAAGTTTATGATGGGTTGGATCAAGACGTAACTGAACCACCAGTCAAGGAATATCTGCTCCTAGGTTCCTAAGAGAAATGAAAACTTGTCCATATAAGTATTTGTATAAGAATGTATACACAACACTACTTATAAAAGCCAAAAAGTGGAAGCACTCCACATGTCCATCAATAAAGAACAGGTAAATAAAATGTGGCATATGAATGTAATATGGAACAATCTGCACTGGGTGTGGTGGCGCATACCTGTAATCCCAGCACTCAGGAGGCTGAGGCAGGAGGATCATTGTGAGTTTGAGGCCAGCCTGGGCTACAAAGTGAGCTCAAGGCCAGCCAGAACTGCATAGTGAGACCCTGTCTCAAAAAGACAAAAAAAAAAAAAGAACAATCTTTTACACTATAAGAATGTAATGCTATGCATTTCCCTCTAAACAGTGCTACATCTGCTTCTCATTCATTTTGATACATTGTGTTTTCACTTAATTCAACATTTTAACCTCGTGATTTTTTTTTTTCTCTGAACCATGAGTTAAACTGTTAATTTACAAATAAATGTTTTCAAATATATGTCTGTTACTGACGTGCAATCCAACTCCACTGTGGTCCAAACACATCCTTTGTATACTTGATTCTTATAAAGGTAGTTAAGGTTTATTTTGTGAGGCTACAATACATTCTAATTTAGTGAACAGTGCATGTACATTTAAAATTATTACTGTTGTTAGTTAGTCTTTTGTAAATCTCAATTAGGTCAAGTTGATACTGTTTAGGACTTCTACATCTCACTAATTTTCCAACTCCTTGCTTAATCAATTGACTGCTGAAAGGACAGTATTGTAGACTTCTTTTAGTTTCACCCGTTTTTAACTCATGTAGTTTGATAATCTGTTGTTAAATGTATACATATGCAGGACTGTCAACAACTCCTGGAGAGCTGATCCTTTATCATTAAGAAATGTTCCTCTTAAGGCCAGGGATATAGCTC